AGTGTTAGTGGTACTTGTCTTCTACAAGACATGGACACTGGTGAAAGCAGTCAACAGAATTCGTCAGACGGCGGAGACGGTAACGGATGGACAGCAACAGTTATAGGGCAAGTACTTCCAGGGCCAAGCGGAAATTTCGTACAACAGCACTGTTTTAACAGGACATCCAAGAACATGATAAAAACAACTGATATGAACAGTGTAAAAGCCATGTTCACAAAGTACGAAAGGGCTACAACATCAAAGGATTACAAAAGTATAAGTATTATAAATAATTACGCATGGGCTCAACCGGAATCGGCCGATTACATAGTACCATATTTCCTAACAACGTGGGTTACACCACCAAAATGGGAGGCAACAATACGTAACGCAACATCATACAGGATAGTCAAACAGGGATTCAAAATAGACAACATTATAGCAGGAGAATGGATGACGAAGAACAACGAGGAAGTGTCCGTACCAAATCCTTTACCGTATTTCGAAGTTTACATAGACAAAGGTAATTACATTGGTTACAGTAATTTAAACGGGATAACAAATATACCGAACAAAAATTTCACAGAGATACAACCGATGAGAGGAACGGAAGCAAAACTGCCAAAATACAAATACTCATACGGTTGTCCGGTACAATTACTAAACAGTATGGAAAACTCTAGTTCAAGAATAAATGCTAATACAAACCAAACTACTATTCCTATGATAGATCTTCACGATTGGAGAGAAATGGAAAACATCATAAAAGTCAGACAGGGTGACACATACACACACATATGGAAAAATCCGAGTTTATCAAGAAAGCCGCTCACAAACGTTTACACGCAAGACGATTACACAATCATGGGTTCCATGGTATGCAAACCTGAGCTAATGATGTCTGAAATATCACACGGTTACCCCACAGCCTGGGACAGTGGACTCGACGTTGCTACAGGGCCTAAACTCGGTACTATAGCTAAAGATGCACAAGACGATATACAATCAGACGACAACAGAAAACGAAAAAGAACATCAGAACAAGAAGACATAGCACTAAACGAAATAAGCGACATAAATTTCGATTATCTCGAAACTGTCAAAAAAAATAAACTGCCAACGAAATAAACTGACCGTTCGAAAATATGGGATTACATAAGTGGGTCTTTCGTAGTCGCTAACAGAACAGTCATAAACAAAATTCTATACACATCAGAAGACGCTCCTGATATGGTATTAATCAATGTTCCGCCCATTCTAAGGCCAAACAGCCAATCAGGTATGTTATACTTCACTTTCGAGATGACCTACATGATAGAGATTGAATGCTTTTACGAAAGTCTGCAGCATCCCCAAAAGGTGCCTGTTATGAATAAGTATTGCACGGTGGCAGCAGTGGGACAAGATATACATTACAATCAAAGCCTGATAGTGCCCCCTAACCACCACTTCCACGGGCAAGTGTCAAAAGGATTGGTGCACGGCAGAACCAATAAGGTTTTTGCTGACGTGGACAGAAGATTAGCGGTAAGGGTGAAATGTGGAAAATTCCTAAACAAGTAATGTATAAAAGAGGTACAATGGCCGTTTTTCAAATCAAACCACCAGCGACCGTTGAAGAAGCCACGACTGCGACACCAGATAACGTGACCGAAATAACCCATTCATTCAAGATGGAAAACAAGACATCTGCAGTCTACAACCCAGAGAGAGACGCCTTCAATAAGCTTGTCTTCGAGGACAAAAAAACTAAAGACAAACAGTTGGTATGCTACACCTGGATCTACAGGTGGGAGGCGCCGACAGAATTCGTCCTCAACATTCCGAAAGACAACACTCTACTGTTGGCAAAAAAAGACTCTACAAGGCAAACAGGACAAGCAGACGAGATATCTGTTCCTAACACGTTCTACAAAGCGGACCCAACAATGAAAAACTGTTCCGACGTGATCACCACATGAAGCACAGCTGGACCAAGCCTACATAGCTTTAACATACTGAAAAGACTCCTCAAGACTAGAACCAGCCACTCGTACAGCGTATCCATCCAAAAGGTATACAATCCTTACGGATTGTGTAAATACCTAACGGAGGATCCCGCAGCAAGATACGTGGTGGCGGCAGACAACATTGTAACAGTAGGTCAAAAGCACGTAATTACGACACTCACAAACAGAACATTATCAAACGCAGACACATGTTCCTCTGACGACAACAGTTTAGAAGAGAGAAAAGCAATGGTGCGCAGTCAGAAACATGATTTCATCAAAAAAATGATGAAAAAGTGCAACAGCACTGATCTGGCCAACATAATGCTATATTGCAAGAATACGCGAAACATTAATTACAGAAAAACTTGGGAGTCAATACATCATAACACTCCAAATCTCACAAACATTGTCAGGGCGGCAGCTATTGACTGTCATGTGGAAACTAAAGTGACGCCAATCTGGGAACAAATCTGGGCGAAAACGGAATTCTTCCAGCAGCAAAAGAATTACTACTGGTCGATTCTAAAAAGCCTGGCGATATTTGAGGAATGGTGTCGCTTTCACCTGATCAATGTTGAACAGTTCAGCCGACACACATTCGACATCTGCCACAAAATAACACCGAAAATCAACAGTCTTCACATTACAGGGGTGAGTAACAGTGGTAAGTCATACATTCTTCGACCGATCAAAAACGGGTTGATGAATTGTGGTCACATGTGTTGTCAGGCTAGCGATAACTTCACGTTCGGTAGCTGTGTCGACAAAACTCTTATATACACTGATGAGATGTGGTTCACTCCGAACAACATCGAAGAAGCCAAGTGTATATTAGAGGGAATGGAGACGTACGTTAACGTCAAACACCAGAATGAGAGGATATTATGAAGAACGCCTTGCATCAGCACTTCTAACGAAGAGCTGTGGAGACACGTGCTCGGAGATAAGAACACGCTGATGAACCGCATGCACTATTACGAGACCCGTAGGCCGATGCCCGCGTTGAAACAGTGGGGAAAGATAGAGTTGAATCCTCTAATGTGGCTTACTATTTGGAAGAGTCACATAAACGCTTATATTTCCAACGAGCACAGAGGGGTTGTTGGTGAGAGTCATCACCCCGAACCTGCTCCTGCTAAAAAGTGTCTCTTCAAAAGTAGTGATCTACACTCCCCGCAATAGAAATGCGAAAGCATCAGCGCCTGAAAGAGATTGAACGAGGAACTGTTGACAATGTACATACCTTCGGACTCGCCCGGTTCCAAAGTGTATTTGAGGAGAGCAAGTCAACTAAAATCAGACTACCTTCCAGATTTCCATGAATGTCTACTTTGTTCATCTGTGTGAGAGTTACGTTCCTTAGCCCCACCAGCTCAGACGTTCACAGCTACGACTTGCCAGGCTATGTTCACAGTTGCAAACCAACCTCAATTTCTGTGTTCCTTTGATAAGGAGAATATTCTACACAGACATCTTCTTTCCCAAAACGGTTGATTTGTCAAACTAACATGAGAATGTTTCCCTGACAACTACAATCTTAGTCTCTACCAAGTCCATGGCCAATCAATATCTTTCTTACATATTCTCATAATATGCATTTCTTACTTCCTCCTCCCCCACCTTCCATCACAACAATCTCACTTGGTAACTCTCTGCCTTGAGTGGTAATAGTAAGTTACTAGACTTAATGAAGAGGGCCTCCATTGTACCCTGATGGTATAAAACCAAACTCCTTCAGGAACATATAAAATCTCACAAATAGTTTATAGTTTATTAGTTGTAGAAATTAAATACTATTCATCCACAACATCATAGAAAGAATAAAAGTGAAATTTTCTTTTGTAAGACAGAAAGAAATTAAAATGTCACAATGTCAGGTTCAGGTTTTTTTGTCAACAGGCAAATCACAATAAAAATCAAATTTCTTTCTTCACAGACAATATTATTTTCCATTTCAAAACCTTTTTTTAAAAAAAAAAAAACAAAAACAAAAAAAATGTTCTCCTAGATTTTGTGTTGATTTTATCAAAATAACAAAACACAATTTAATTTTTTTTGAATTTGATAAATTTTAACTTCCATAAATAAATGTTAAAGAAAAGTTGAAAATTTGTTTCAAAAACCTTTAAAAAAAAAAGCAAGCAAAATCTTTTCCTTATAAATATAAAATTTGAATTTTTTCTCTAATAATATTTTATGAAAAGACAATTCTATTGTAAAAAAAAAACCCTCCTGTATATAAGTATTTTCCTATATGGAGTAAAAGATACCAATACCAAATTCTTGTCCTTGCAGGTGAACCATGACCCAATTCTCTTTTACCCAACAATCAAATAAAAAGGCAGCACAAGTCAAGAAAACACAACATCACAATATTCAAATGAAAATTTGGCTTTATAGCATGTGGATTCTTTATACAAGTCATATACTGATTTTGAAAGGAAATTTACTTATTTGTGAATCTTAAGAACTTAATGTTTTGAATTATTGCCATCTCAGGAAGTTGGTCAGTGTAATGAGTAACTCAAAATTGATACACATTATGATTCAGATTTTGCAGTCCTGTTCCTACCAAAAGCTGAAACTGTTAAGCCATTAGAACACAGAATAGCTGATCAATTAACGAAACCTTTACATAGCTGACCAATTAACCAAACCTTTACATAGCTGACCAATTAACCAAACCTTTACATAGCTAACTATAAAACATACTATGTAAAAGATAAAAAAAATGCTTAAAATGCTAAAATTTTCACAATAGCTATTCTTAGATTGTGACTGGAGACATGTTCACAAATTCCATTTCCTCTTCTATATCTCAAAGTTTCAGTTTTCAACCAAAGCTTGTCTGCCAAAAATACTCTCTGCTTTATTTCTGCAAGCTGAAGCAAAAAATGTCATTGATTACTTTTAGCAAAAGTAAAAGCAACAAAAGAGATAATCATCACCACTCCCCAGCATTGAGGAGCATTAAAAGCATTAAGAATCTGTGCCAGTGCAAAGGGAAAAGACATGTTAACTTCTTACCATGATGAGGCGAGAAAGGATCATCAGCAGCATTGAGACAGAGCAGAGGAATCTTGATCAAGTGTAATTTGTCATGGAGGCAGGCATCTTGGTAGTATTTCTCCCAACTACCATAGCCAAACAGTTTAGCTGTGAATCGATCATCAAATTCTTTTATTGTCTGACTCTGTAAAGGTGGGAAAAAAATGAAAGTCAAATGTAAAGAAATTTAGAAGAAACTGATTGCAATCAGAAAGTCAAGTGTGAAGCAGTTTTACCGAGGAACTTGATGACAAATTAACATGAGTCAGTTATTGTTATGCTTGAATGAAAAATATTTATGAGTTGGAAAAATTAAATGAAAAGAATCAGAATGAAAATATATTAAAGACATTTGTACAGAATGCAATTTATTTCTAAACAATTTGTGACAAATATTTTATTTTAAAAAATGAGATAATTATTAAAAAAGATGTAATAAATGCCAGATAGAAAAAAGAATATCAGAAAAGTTAAAGAGGTTTTGTATGTTTAGATAAAGAGTAACTAAGAAAAACAAAGAATTCAATAGATTCCTCCTTGCCCCAAACCCTAATATAACAAGAGTCTTCCTGGATCTTTCAATATTTGCTGCAAATATCAAGATACTACTTAGTGCAGAGTAGAAGTGTTGTTTTGGGCATGGCTCACAAGTTTGGAGAATTCAAAGTAGCAGTTAGATAGATAATTCATTCTAGTTTACTAGATTTTCAGATTTAGCCATCTATTTATTATACCAGCTTATGATTGACTAATTGAGGTAATTAGAGTAATTATCTCAAACTACGTCAAGCTGAGCCAACAGCAATAAAATGAATTTCAAGCAACTTTCAGGCAACATTGAAATGATGGCATCTTTTAACCAATGTTTACTGTCAGTTGAAATGATTAAGGAGACAACAAGTAATATTTAAATAAGACAGATATTCTATTCATTTCATGTGTGTTCTCTAAGTAAATTCTCAGATGATTTCTGCACACAAGTAAAACCAGCGCTGCATTTTTACAAAGAAACATTTTTGCAACAGTTTCTCCTTTTCATTCATTAAGAAAAAAACAACAAAGTTTATTGTTTAAAAAACAAAAATTTCATATTCATGTTTGTTATACAAAAGCAAATACTAAATGTATCTGAACTTGTATGCAATATTCTACATGCCTATCATATCTTTTCACTATTGAAAATGAAAAGGGTTGCCTTAAATATCTGCAGACAGATGGCTAAACAGAGATTAAATCCCATTTCACATCTTAGAGAGATATTTTCTGAATTCAATTATTACCAATTCTGAATTCATTTTGGAATCTGCTTGGCAGAAGGGAACAAAGGAAATGTTGCAAGATGCAATGACATTTTTCTGGGCACAAAAGACAAAAACTAACTTTACAAAATCATTTACCTTCATTACATAATCCATATCAAAGTGATGCTCAAATAATTCAATATTTCTGTAAAAGAAAAAAATACAAAATATTATGTTTTGTAGAAGTTATTTAACAGTTTTAGAAAGGTGAAACAATAAGCAATTTAGCTTCCAAATTTTAGACTAATAGAATTATTAATATATAGAGATTGCCGAGAAGCATAGAGAGTGTGAAGCAAAAAAAAAAAAAAATGATATGAACAAATTTCTGATAATGATCATAGAAAGTAAATTTAGACAAACGAATATAAAAACAGTTAAAGCAAAATTCATAGAAAATAACTTTGAAGAATCTGTGCCAGTGCAAGGAAAAGACATGTTAAACATGGAGTAAACACAATTTGCATTGATTTCTGTTTGTGCTTCAAAGAAAGTCTTTTAACTGCCATGAGAATAATATCCTCAGATAGACAGACTCGAAAATCAATGGACATTAAAAGTGTTCTTCTGTAAATGAAGACACATCTACTTGTGTCTGTCTTCAGAAGTTAATACACTATAAGGTTACTTTTGCAAGCTGTTCAAGAATGTCTATGGATTGTCATGTTCAAGACATTTAACAGCCAGAGGGAAACTAATGAAGCTTTCTTCAACACATGACAAAAGGCCATTTTTTAATGGTATTTATTCATAAATTGCATAGCATTATCACCACATGTTCATGATTTCTGATTTGTGACATCAAGAATTTCCATATCACCATTATAGAGCAACTTTATAAAGTTATCAAAGTGAAATCAGAAGAGTAAATGAGTTTTATGTGTATTGACGTGAAAGTAAAACAAGTTGAGGAGAGTATAATACTTGGGCAAGATGATAATATTAAAACTCTGGCACCTTTACCGTTGGGAACTAACCAAAATGAAATATTGCAAGGGGTTACAAAATTAAAACAGCTGACTGATTAGCTAAATGAGCTATCAACTCAAATCAGACTAGATCTGAGCCATGGTTTGAATTCTGCATTGAAGCAAGAAAAAAAGTTGTCTACATTAAGCAAGCCAATAAAGTTATTAGGAAGGCTAAGAGAGAAAACTGTTTTTTGGTTTATGTTGCAGAATTAAAAACTGATGGGTAAATTTGCTAACCTATTGGATAGAGGATCCCAAGTAGGATATATATATATATATATATATATATATATATATAGAATAGCTGGCCACTCATATTCGAGGATACCCATCTATTAGGGTGGATAACCAATCCCTACTGCAGACACTCGCTCAGGCACATTTGTGTTTGTTCAACACCCACACAGCCAACCTGTGGTTTATACTGCAACTATGCTGAGCAGACATTGGTTACAGTTTCTGGGAGAGATGGTGTTATCTAGCATGATCAACAATCTGAACAAGGCCAGCACACTTAAACCCTCAGTCACAACGACATGTGACTTTGTGCTAGCACAGCTATCAATGGTCCCTAAGGGTTCAGTCTACCCAAATTTCACTCAAAAGGCTTTGGCCAAGTTTGAGTTGGTTTTGCTATTGACATATTAGCCAGAGTTAACCTTGCAGAAACAACGATTTTTTACAGATAAATTTACACTTGGATGATAAAACTAGAAAATGTGTACATAATCTGTTACATGACAGAGTTTCATTTTCCAATTCAAATTCTAGACAAGAGATTTTACATTGAAATTTCTATTAATGAAGGTGTGAAATGAAATTGAATTATCACGAGTATCAACAGCTGAACGAATTGAAAATTAATTAACAAAAAGAAGGAATTGTCTCGTTTAAGGTTCCCAGATACTTGTCTGAACCTAAAGAATTTTTGCGACAATAAAACAAAAAAACCAAAAAACCGCTTAGCATTATACAGTCACAAGTAACAAAGAAACTAAAAGATTAAAAGAAGTTATTGCCCTTGAATTGGTTATTAAGCGAATTAAAGTAGAAATATGTTGGGTTGTCTGTCCTTGAGAAAGTGAGCAGCAGAACCTGAGGCAGTGAGTATCTGGAATTTATGGCAAGTCAAACATTGGTAGCAAACTCTAAAATGGCTCAAGTTAAAGAATATTTTTTATTCTCGAAGGCTGAAATACCTGAACGAGTTTGAAATTAAAAGTTCAGAATTAAATACTGGATGAAGAAGTGATTTGTGTTTCTGACAAAAACAATTAAATCAGGCATACAAAAAAAAACATTTTGTGATGGCTGTATTTCAACCAACTCCTATATTCAATGATAAATAATTCCTCATTGTTAAATTATTTCACGTAAAATCCTATTATCTACAGTTAAAGACAAGGTCCTTTTTGGTGCAAAGATTAGATTTCCGCAGCTCCAGATTAGATTAGAGCTCCAAACCTCTGAATCCATTTTTTGTTACAGATTAAAACCTCTTTCCATCTCAATATCTGTACTAAAAAAAAGGTGATAATTAAAAAATATATTAAATAAACAAAAAACAATAAGATTGTCAAATTCTAAGTGGGACAGGGAAAGTGGCAAGAGAAAAATTGTAACCAACACTGTCAATTGTTATCAACACAAATAATTCTCTTCCAATTATGTTTCTCACATGTTTTTGTCAAATACAAAAATATTTTGAGGTGTTTTTCCCAGTGAGGGTTAAAAAACTAATCTTATAAATTCTCAGTCAGTGAACTTGATTCTTGTTGTGTATTCCAGGGTTACGGATTTATAGTAGATTTATTATTTTGTGTCAACCCAATATTATTTTAGTTTGCATTATTGTAATGAGAGTAGAAAACATTGGTCCAATCCTACAAGGCATCTAATTTTTGTCAATTCAAATCACGCTACAATTAGTCAATTTAAAAACTTGTAAAGTTATTCCTACACCCAATCATACACAAGATGTTTGCTAATATAACAAATTATATAACAAATGCTTAATAGTATCCCACATGTATGACAAAATGTAAAAGTCAAAAAAGACAATGGACTACTGACTTGTGAACCAAATTGACAAGGTTTCTGGCTAAATATTTATTGAACAAGAGGTAGTTGATTGGCTGCTCCAAAGTTTTGGAGGATTCAAAAGAATCCCAAGCTGCTGATACAGCCATGGCTGCCAGAAAGCTGGCATTCTCTCCAAACTTGGCTAAATAACCCGTCATAATCATGCTGAAAAAGAGAAAACAGTCAGTTAAAGAATGACAAAGTATTAACACCTTTTCAAAAGAATTTCAACAAACTAAACAATCCAGAATTTTTGTGAACAGAAAAAAATAATTGGATAATACATTTTGATACCTCAGTAATTTTGGCATTTGTTTAGTAGCAATTTATAAACAGTTTAAAATCCATTTGAATTTGAAAACCTTTTTAAAAAATTCAACACTGCAGGAGTTGTTTTTTTTTTGGTGGGGTTGCATTGAATTTTACATTGAATTAAGATATGAAATGTAGTTTCCAGCATATTCTTATGAACCAAAAAAAAAAAAAAAGTTTATAAATGGCGTATTGTGTCTGGTTTTCAAAAATCAGGGTGCTGAAAGCTAATAAAAAATTTGATGACAAAGTCCTACTTTAAGTGTGCTACTTGCCAGTTGGCCAGATCTTTACTGTAAATTGTAAATTCATTTCAAGTTTTCACAATTTTCAAAACAAGATTTTATAAAATAATTCCAAATTTTAGACTTTGCAGTTTACCATTACCACAAAATATAGGAATCAAAAGAAAGACAAAAATACAAGCTCAAATTCAAAATTCAAGATGAACATTGATTAATTATGTTTCAAACATTTTTCCCAAAATTTTAAACTAATGATTATAAAAGTGTAAACTACTGGTGTTCATTTTACTGACTGAAGTCAAATGTTTGCTTGACTTTTCATTGAAAAGATTTTTTTTTCTAATTAAAATTAACTGCCCTCAATTTCCAATAATTTTTCATATTATATATGATTATGCAAGTAAATTTTGAATAAAACTGACCAAAAGTTGCAAGTGTGTGTGTGTGTGTGTGTGTGTGTGTGTGTGTAAGGAGACAATAAATTATCAGAGTTGCAACAGGAGCCATATTTTTTTGTTTTGAACTAAAGTCTCTCTTCAAGTGATATTCAAGAATTCTTCAGCTTTGTATAAGACAAAAAAAATGTTACTGCAATCCTCTATTTTATCATCAAAAAAGATTTCATTTGAGGAGAAAACAGGAAAAATGTGTAATGTTGTGGCAAGGGTCAATGGTTGGATGATTAGATGCCAATTATTAATGACACCTTTTTCTTTTTTTCATTTTAACCCTAAGCAGCTTTTGTCTTTGTAAATCAAAAGATTAAGACAGATGAATTAATCTAAACAAATATATTTTCCCAGCCAGGTGTTCTAAGCAGGAAATCACATCCCATCTTCATCAGCATCGGACTACTCTTCCCACAAATAATTTAATCTACCACCCACTTGGGATGATTTCTACCTCCTTTTCCATTGATTGCTTATTGTTAATTATTCTCAGTAAAGATGAAGACCCCAAATTCTTTGGCCGATGAAAGCTCAAGATTTTCTTTAGCCATTTTTTTTTACCTGTGAATTAAAAATGGATTCAATAAAAAGGGCTCATCTGTAATAAACCTAGAGGTTAACTTGTGTGAATTCTTTCTGGGTTGTATCTCCTTCAACTCTAAGTACACATCAGACAATTTTGAAATTAAAAAATATCAACATGAATATCGTTATTCAAATACCATTTACCTAAAAGGTTCAAAGTTCATTCATATCTTGAATGTAATAAAGAGTGTTTCTAATTTAATTGAAAGTACTCCATTTGCCCCACCTCCACTCAAAAAATGTGTTAAGAGTAAAAATCTGATTTTTACCAAATAAAGTAACAAACATATTACGTCTCAATCTTACATTATCTGAAATAATTCACTTTTTCAAATAGGATTCTTTATCTGATTTTAAACTTCTTTTTTGATAATCACACTGTAACATATGCTGATAAATTACAGCCTCTTATTATTGATCAAATGATTTGTACAAAGTGCATCTTGTCCCCCATAACTGAGAAATAAAGAAGAGTAAGAAATTAATAAAGCCAGACTCAGTATAAAATATGAGGTTTGACCAAAACATATTTTGAAAATTTCAAGAATTGGCTGTGTATCCTTGGCAACTAATCAGAATGGACTTAACTGTATTAACAGACACTCACCTGCATGGTTACTCAGTCAACGATGAAATCTCACTGAATTAGCACAACCATCACATTCACAATGAACAATAAGGTCTCATGTAAGGTTCTTTACCAAAACATTGCATGACAAAGATCTATTAGCCTGCATATAGTTCCCATCAACTTCTGGCTTTTCTCAAATCATTATTGAAATGCTATGAACAAGATTAAGGAGAATGTGACATGGCAGCTGATGATGATCTCAAAAGAGGGAGTTTGAAGATCTTTTTGAAAAATAGAATGGATACTGTAATAAATGTGAGAGGGTCTCTAGGGAAGGACTTTGAAGTTGGCTCAATTGCCATTCCCCTAGGGAAGATAATTTCCTGGTAAATAAAATTTTCCATAAGTAATACAAAGAAAACAATTGAAGTAACCAAAATAATTAGAGTTAATTTTTGGTTATCTGCAAAGATTAAAGTCAACCATTTTGCAGAGAAATCACAAAGAGAAGATAATACCTACATCAAGTGCAAGAAAAGCAATTGGACCCGTAATATTGGTAATCACAAGACGACCTGGAATAGTTTTTTTTTTCTAAACGAAAACTTTATGCTTTTGCTAAACATAAAAATAAATATTAGGCAATCTAAAATATTTTCTTAGGTTGCATCTCTGGCTTCTCATAGTCCACTGGTAATTCTTCAGGCTATAATACCATATCACAGACTGAATCAAGAAAGACAATTTTCTTAGGTTTCTTTTCTTCACTTTATTTCGGTGGAGGTGGGGGGGAGATACAGTAGTAGTAGTAGCAGAATCATTTCTGGGAGACAGAGGGGACAGATCTCAATAGGTTGGCCATTGTCTTGCAATAACCATGTGGTGGCTTTTCTCAGCAAGAAAAAGGAAAGGTGTGTGTTTTCACTCCTCTATCACTGCCACCAAAACTCTGTCCTTGAATTTTCTATTAGAAATTTAAACAAAGGCAACCCATCACACTGTCAGAATTTCACACACACACAATTCAAACCACCTCCACCCAGTTTGACTCATCAGAGTTCTGACCAGTATGGCAGGGTTGGACATTTTAGGTGAGCCTACACGTTCTGTAACAATTTTCACAAACAACTTTACATGGTGAAAAAAGAGGAATATTTTGTTGAAGAAAATTCTATTGATTATTCTGATGACTAAAAATAAATTCAATGCAATTATTCAACGTGTCACTAAGAAGCAGTTGACTCTGCAGATAATTGAAAATCTATTAGTTCATTTCATTATTCTATTTGGATAATCTGTAAAGTAGATAATCTATCCCTCCTACCACCTATATCTATAGATAAACAAATGTTGACTGTAAATGAAATTAACAAACATAGAATTGTGTGAGTGTGAGTGGGTGTTTTTCTACAACTACAAACATTGATAGGATTAAAAACAAGCAGACATTGTAAATTATTTGCATTAAAAATTCATTTGATATGAGAAAGATTTACAATAGACAACAAAATAAAAAGCAATTTAGCTTATTTTGGTTTGTCAGATAGTTCAATCTTGAAAAGTGGGACTTTTTAAAATTTTATATCAGGGATGATGACTTGGATTAGAAAGGATTTTTTTTTTCTTTCTTTGCTGAATGAAGATGTGAATAGTTAACGTTGAGATTTTAAAATTGCTATCATATGAATTGTTTAAAGCTTATAGCAAGCAACTTCTGACAGAGATCAGAGCAGAACAAATGTAAAAATGAGGATGTCGTTGAAATCAGCTCAGACACAAATCAAGATGTTCACAACAGATTCTTCTCTTCTATGACAAAACAAATAATCAAATAATATAAATTAGAAATAAGAACAAAATATCTGCAAAAAAGATTTAAGCTTTCCTTTGTTGGAATGAGATCCAGAAAGAGAGTTTGGACTTTCTGTATGTACAGGATGTGGCAGAAATCCCTCCCACATAATAGTAAAACATCAGTAGCAATGGTGTCTTCTTCTAGTTAATGTCATACCATTAAGTGGGAGGTATTATTGCTGCATCCTGTATTTCAATCCACAAACATAAATAAGGCCATTGGTATAAAGAAACTGCATCATACTATTCATCTTATAAAAGAAGATGATTATGATGATAAGACATTTTAATTATAAGAGATAGAAAAATGATTCAGAAAAAATAACAAAGTTAAATAGAATTCAACAATTTAAAATCTACCAAAAATTCAATTGACTCAAACCAGTCACCTACATGGCCAAGACTGAAATAAGCTAGTGAGGTAATTTTTTTTTGAAACCAAAGAAATATACTTGATTCTATGAAAGTGTAGAGAAAAACAATGATTAGGGTTATAAAGTACATTTATGAATTGAAGAACAAGTAATTTCTTTCTTTTTTTTTCTTTTAACCACTGAAATGGATTTCTTTGTAGATTTTTTGTTAACCTTCCAAAATGACCGCTTTCACTGACAAAAATGGTAGAAGGTAACATGAAAAAAGATTTTTTTTTAAGTGACTCCAGTTCTAATCAGACATCAATGAAAAAAGATTTATTCAAAAGAAGGAGATGTTTCTCTGCAGTTTTGATTCATAGTGAATGAGCAGACTTCAAAGTTGCAGTGAAATTTTGGCAAAGTGAGAAATGAAGAAAACCAGGTATGTGAAATGAAACCACAAACCTGAATCCATTAAAGTTCAGCAGCAAAGATTTTGCATCGATGAAAGTTCTGCAGCAAACCAACCAGTGCAATTGCAAACAGGACTTTGCTGCTAGACTATTTTCAGCAAACAAAATTTTGTAAAGCAGCCATCAAATCCCACTTGCGTTCTCCCTCAGATCTTAAATTATAAAAGAATATGAAAGGGAGTCAAAAATGCAAAATGAATAGCTCTCTTTTTCTCCTCTATTTCTGCTGAAATAATAAAACAAACAATACATACCCACCAAGTGAAATGCCAACACCAAATAAGGGAGCTTCTGGGTATCTATTTTTAACATGTTTCACAACAGTATCTAAATCTTCTGTGTCAGTTGCACAGTAAGTTCGTGGTGTCTGGAAAAAATAAAATGGTCCAATGTAAATAAGTAAAAAAAAAATGGAAATGAATACACAAATGTTTTGCTACTTGATAAAAAGATGTAAAAATGAATTTATATTGAATTTTAGGATATAAGAAGGATACCAGGCAAATGAAAAAACAAAAGGTGAAAGTAATCCTGAAGACTGTATAAGGAATATGGTATTGTGCTTAAAATAAGACCAGTTTTACACATCATTGAATGACAGAAAAGCACATAAGGTTACATGATTAGCATACATATTACCTGGCATTAAACATGCAAACTGACAAGAACTAAACAGAAGCAGGAAGAGTCAATGGAAATTTTGCTTGGGTCGTGCTCCCCTATGTTTTTATACCAGAAGATACCCCTAACCCATAGCTGAACTTGTCACTTGCTCACCAATGAATATTTCAAATCAAGCAAGAACACAGCAACCAAGACAAAAAGACAGAAAATGATCATTACTCTTTTAAAATGAAATAGTTTATAACACACAGATGCTGTGACTTATTTTGTTACAATTGTTATCCTGACCGAAAATATATTACAATTACCTCTCTGACCATTTCATAACCTGTATTATGGCATGTTTGATTAATAAAAAACTAAGTAAGGTCAAACTGTATACAAATATTGATTTACCTCATTCTTGTAAAAGAGCGCCAAGGACGAGAAAGAAAAGGAAACGATAGTATTCACTAGTATTCTTCAAAATTGTTACTAATTGAGATTTACAATTACTTTATTTACATTATTTACACTCAGACTATTGTCCTCATCTTTATTGTTATAACATTTTGGTTGTTGTGCCCTCCAGCCTTTATCAGATGCTTATTGATCCAGGTAACCTTCAGAGAATTTCAAACTGAACCATTTATTTAATCTGTAAAATGAAATAATATCAAGCAAGCAAACAAACAATATATGCAAGGTCAATTAATAGGTAAAAAATTCACAAACTAAGAATTGGCATCAACAGACAAAAAGCAGTAGTGTTCTGTCTTCTAGACAAAGCAGATCTGAACCGAGTCATGTCAAGCTGCAAACCAACCTATTTTATTAGCCAAGAAAAATATCCCAGCATGCCTTTTTTAACTTCTGCCTATAAAAGGGAAGGAGGAAATGTTTGCAGTCTTTCCAGTTACAATTGAAATCAACCCTCTCACCAAATTTAATGGATGAGTGCACTCATATTTACCTCCCTTTTCTATGGGGGTTAATAAATACACACAAGATACATGCAAACATTTATATATATTTTGCATACATAAATTTATTTTTTTGTTGTAATATTTCAAAACGTTTTTTGTTCTTTTTTAACTTTTAATATTCCTTTTTTTTTTTTAAATTTTAAATATATTATTTTTTTTTCTTTCACTTCTTTAAAAAGTTTTTACAGACAATAAATGTGCTGTGGGGGAGAAAGTTTTGTAATAATCTATTCCAGGTTTCTGCGAGTAGTCTTTTGCAATGAATCATGCGTTAACTGTTAATTACTAGTGCTATTAGTTTTAACAGTGTAGTCTCATCGACTGCCTATAACTGTTTTACTAGGTGAAGCTCTGTCAATTCATATGTATTATTCACTTTTAGAGAAGCTATCTTTTTTTCCATGGCATCTCACCATTTTATAGAATCATTTGAAGTACTAGCTTTATTATAATTAGTGGGTATATTCTTTACTGAACAACAATAATCCATAGTTGGATTTAGTATGTCAATGTAATCTTAAATATTCAAGCATTTTTCATAACTTCCTTGCATATCGTCTGTTGGGTATTTCTTCACTAGGATTATCTCCTGCATTATCGCTTGGATTTGTTGATTGTGTAGTTTCACTTTCTTGTGTCCCCTCACTACAAGGATTTTTCAGCAGATAGTTAGAAAGTATCACATCATTTTCTTCAACTGGAAGTAAAGAATCATCAGATGTAGCAGGATTTTCAAAGTTTTCAGTAAATTTTACACACCTGACTCTCTTGACATTCTTAGTTTCAGGTATATATGTTAAATAGGAAGGACTTGATTTATTGTAGCCTATGAAAATTTTTTTTTTTTGTCCAATTTCCTCTTATCTTGTATATAGGCATAAGAAATTATGTCAAATGTATGCATATTGGCATAGTTAGGTTTGAGACCTGTGAACATTTCAAAGGCAGTTTTCTCAGTTCTTTGACTGTAACACTGATTTCTAATATATGTGGTGGTCATAATAGCATACAACCACAAAAAATTTAGATAGCTTTGATTCTAATAAACATCTACCCAAGATCACCAACACCACTCTGCAGTACCATTTTGATGTGCAGAGTATGGGGGCCAATTTCTCATGTTTCATTTGAATATTAATCAAAAAATTTTCAAAGTTTTCAGAAGTGAATTCTGTGCTGTTATCACTTACTTAGGTGTTTTATAGAGACATAAGAAGCAAAGTCAGCCAAATATTTCTTTGTGACGAGAAACGTATTGCTTTTTTTGTGTCAGAAAATAAATCATAATTAGACCAGTATAGTCATTCATGAAACAAAGTATATAATTGAAGCCATTCAAATGTCTGGGTTCAATTGGGCCAGCCAGAATTTTATGCCACTGCATAGCAGTTTTGGAGGTTACTGCAGCATTTAAATAGTATAGGCGTCCATTTCTTTTTATGTCAAATTTCACAATATTAGGGTAGATAAGTTCAGAGTAATTACAGTCAAATTTTACAGAAGCCCCCATTTTGGTAGTGGCTGGTAACAGGAATATACTTTGTTTGAATGTGGGGATGTATAGAGCATTCGTTAAAATGCAATCTTGCAGATTTCCTTCTGTGTCAGTTATTTTTATTTGAGCATTGCCTTTTTTTAAAAGCAATATCATTAGTTTGACTAGCATCTGCCAATTCAATATAGTGATTTTCTAAATTAAAATCATTATTAAAAGTAAGAAATTTAAATTCATCAGTAATCACATGTGGTAAGACCACAGTCAATAAGTAAAATCCGTTTTTGTTGGATACGGTGTCTCTAGTCCAATTGAAAATAGAAATTAATTTTCATTATTTGAAACATATTCCATGTTTTTTTATGAAATGAGTTTTCTTTTTGTTTCTGCACTTGGTACTTTTATGTGCAGGTTTGCAACAAGCATGGCAGATAATACTCTTGTTCAGTGGATTGGAATTACAGTGTTTTGAGAGGAAATTATTTACTGGGTAATACCGAAACTTACTTTTGCAATCAGGAATTTTATGTACAAGTTTGCCACAAGTAAAACAGGTAGGAACATTAGTTTGTGGCTTTGTTCTTGGCATTCAAAGAGTCATTACGGTATTTTCACTGTTATTCTTCCGAATCATATTTTCAGTTTCTTTGAAGCTTCGCAATGCTACTTTGAATTCATGAAATGTTAGTAGTTTGTCTTTCTGAGTAATAACAATTGTAAATGGCTTCAAATCAGACGGTGGGGGGCTTCTAGGACCATCGCAAACTATCGGTAATTATTTCCAAGGAAGTTTTTAATAAGGTGGCAACATTTGTGGCTCTAATAATATAATCATTAATAGTTTAAGCACTGGCTTTGCATAGGGATGTTAATTCCATATACAAGGAAATTATTTTTGGCTTTCCTTTCAATAAATAATGCTGTCTCAAAATTTGCAGCACTTTTCTCCCATCATCAGGGGCTTCTCTCATAATAAGAGACAAACTTTGATCATCAAGAAATTGAATTAATTTATCAAACGTGTTTGCATTCTTTTCACAGTTGTCTTTGTCATTAGAACAGTCAAAAGGTGCCAAGATTGTTTTGTGTAATTTTTGGATTTGCATGTCACCCCAAAAATTTATTTCCCATAGTTCATATTTTGATTTGTCACTGTTGAAGCAAAGTCTATTTGCAGGTCAGATAACTTGTAAAGTGAGTAGCCATGGTCAAATGTAAAAAAAAAACAAAATACAATACCAGAACTGTCCAACAGAATTAACAAAGTATGCAACAAAAATAAAAAATAAAAAGGAACAAGGTAAAAATGAAATAATATCAAGCAAGCAATCAAACAATAAATGCAAGGCCAATTAACCTGTGGTGTGAGCAGCCATAGTCAAATGTAAAATAAATAACAGAACTGTCCAACAAACAGAATTAACAAAGTTTGCAAGAAAAAGGAAGAGGGCAAAAATGAAATGATATCAAGCAAGCAAGCAACAATATATACAAGTCCAATTAATGCATAAGAAAGTAAAAAGTTCACAAACTAAGAATTTGGTGTTGACACACAAAAGAAGGTTGGACAAGCGAACACAGATGTTTCTCTTCTCGACAAGGCAAATCTGGACTCAAAGTGAAAACCAACCTATTTTAAAATATCCCAGCATGCATTTGTTGACTTCTGCCTATAAAAGGGGAGGCGCAAATGTTTTGCAGTCATTTCAGCTACGATTGAAATCAACAGTTTACATTCCACTGATCTGAGTCTCAGTAATTTGTTCATGGAAAGTTGAGTTTCAATCAATATACTCTCTAAACTCTACAATAAATGCCTTGCTGCTTCTTGCTTTCTTGCTTGTTGGAAATCTAAGTCTTTAAGAATTCAGGTGAACTGTCTGATCCTGTTAACTATCAGCTTATTAGCCTTCTACCCCTTTTTGGCAAAGTACTAGGGGCTCTAATTAATTCTAACTACTTAATTGGTTAAGCATCTCACCTTGCAGGGTCTTCTTTCAGATAAACAATATGACTTTTTTCTTCTTTAGGTCAACTGTTCTAGGTCAAAAGATTATTGGTGAAAGAATCTGTCAAGTTTTAGATAAGAATGGTGAAGCTCAAGCTGTTGTTTTGGAAATCTTGAAAGCATTTGACAGAGTTTTACAGATTATCCAGCTCTTCTTCACAAGTTTAAAAGTTATGGTATTTCTGGACAAATTTTTGAAGTGATTCATTCTTATCAAATCATGAAATAAAAGTTGTCTTGAATGGCCACTCTTCTAGATCTTTTTGCATTAATGCAAGTGTGTCTACCCTTCAACCTACGTTGTTCCAAATTTTGGTAAATGACCTTTGATATCATCAGTTCTCAACTCAGTATCTATACTGATGTCATAACTATTTACTCCTGAATTAATAGCAAGTTTGATATGGTCAAATTGGCAGCTGATCTAAAAAATCACCTATAATCAATCTGTTGTTAACTGGTGCAAGGAATGGCTTGTGAATTTTAACACCTCCAAAATGAAACTGTTCTCTTTTAATTATCTGAGAGAACTCTTTACTTTCCATCAGCATGATTGATGCTAACATCCAGGAGAGTGACTCATTATGGCTTCTCTCATTAACATTTTCTGCTGAAGTTGATGATAATATTCTGCCTTTATCTTGAGACAAAGTGCTTATAAAAGACAGTTTTTGAGTGATACAAGTCATAATCAAAAAGCTTTAAGCTAAAAGTGTATTATATTCATGCATGTCAATGCTCCTTCACATTCTGAAAAGGCAACAGTTGCCCACCTTGCGAAAAAAAAGGTCCCAAAAACACCAAATTAATGGTAGTTTTCTCAGCCTCTCAAGATATTAATCCAATAGAAAACATTTGGTCCAACATTAAATCAAACCTATACAAGAGTGAAGAATAATATTCCAGCAAAAATCTAAAGAAAGCAATAAAAACTATTCCAAGTAATGTGAAAGTTGAAAGTAGAAAATTTAACAAAATCAATGGTTGAAAGACTGATAAAGATTATAGAATGTCAAGGAGTCCATATTAACATGTTGAATAACAAAATCATTATTTATTCAGACATGTGGGATACTGTGTTAATGAAATATGTTTCTATGCCATACGTCTTTTGTAATTATTTATAGATAAAACTTTATTTTTGAAGGGATGTATTTTTCATCCAATATTTATTACTATAAATGTGATTTTTAGGAACAGCAACTCAAATACATGAACCCACTAAAAATGTTTATAATAAATAAGAAATAAAGCTTTGTTGCACTTTGCACGCTAAAGCCAGAAGTAAGGCCCCCAAAAAATGATCAATATTTTTTTTAAATATCAGCCAAAAACTCATCTGAAATAAAGTTCATTTAAATATATCCTGAAACTTTTAACAAAATCAGTTTGTTAATGTCTATTAATTTCATTGTGAAAAAAAAAAGAAAAGAAAGAGAGACTGGCAGAATATAATCTGACAGTGTAGATCAATAATTAGAGAGAAAGTGATGTTGGATATAAGGATAGACAATATGCGTGTGTGTTTGTGATACTTGGCAATATGTCCAGCCATAGCTGAGTAATGCTGGCTGGCAAGGTATTTAGAGAACTTTTTAAAAGGAGAGAGAGAGAGAGAAAGATGCAGATTTAAAAAGAAGAAAGTAGTGAAGCAGACAGGCAAATTATTGAGCCATGACAAAGTAAGCAGTAAGCCAGCTTCTCTTTTAAAATCTTATGCAGACAGGTGAATGTGTGCGCTCCATGCAGTTTACTTAAAGACTCTGACATAACAAAACCTATAAAGATTTCCTTTTGTATATCTGCAAAGAACATTTCTTTTTAGGCAAAAACAATGTGGGTGGGTGGGTGAAGATTATTCTGGAAGAGATACAGACTAGAAGAGAGTGCTTATCTGTGGGTGCAATCTTTTCTAAAATACACCCCCCTCTACAAAGAACCATGAATTGTTTTAATACTCCACACTAAGAATTGCAGCCACTTCATATTCTGCTTCTTTATCGTGATAAACTAAAAATAATTGCAGAATATTTTTCCATACTAAAATTTATCGATGCCATCATACATTTTACATTTCATAAATGAAACACATTTTAATTCTACTCTCCTCAATCGATAATTCTCTCAACATTTTCACACATTTTTAACTACGCATCAGAATTTGGGTGTTTTAGTTTTAAGAAAATCAAAGTTTATACTTTATAAACTGAAATAGAAATCCTTAGAACATCGAGGATTTATACAAATCAATATTCACAACTCATTGATTTTTGCCAGGAAAGAAAAATTTTAAAACAAAATTTTAATCATTTCATCAATATCAGACTGAAAATATAAAAAAAAGAAAAAGAAAATGATTCATCTTGACAATAAAAAAAAAAATAAATGGCCAGCTACAATTTTCTTTTTCGCTTATACTCTCTCTCTATAGACACACACACACAGAGACACACACAAATGGAAACTAAAATTGCATCACCCTAAAGAATGAGAATGACTTTGACTTGGGTATAATATATGCATGCTAAGATATTCTGAGAAAATGTTTAAAGTCTTTGATCATCTTGTAATTTAGTAACAGTCATATCAGTACATCATTTGTGGCTGCACATCAGATGCTGGCATATCCTGTGATGGGGTTCAGTGTGGTGAAAGAGTCCGGTAAAACTTAGTCATGCATATAAGCTGTTTTATTCACTTAGAGCCATTTGACAAGGATCAAACTGTGGGCCTTTGAAAGGCAAAACATTGATTTTGAAAAATTACTGAACATGTTGGCTATAAGAGATCAATTGTGTACGAGTGTTGACAACAATGGTCAAATAACCATTCTTACACTCACTGACCAGGTTCTGGATGGTCACATAATCCAGCTGTTCACTAAGATTGGTGTAATGTAAAGGCAGCAGTAGTAGATTGGACAGTGTCTACAGAACAGATAAGAATCAATGTGATCTCAAGAGAATCAGCATGGACCATTAGGAATCATTTACTTGCAGCAGGGCTAAGGACAGATGTGTTTCCAGTCTGACTTCAGCTTATGCCACAACACTATTATCTATGTTGCCACTGTTTTTTTTCTGAGGGTCAACTGGGAGATTGAATAATGCTCTCTAGTGTTCAGAAATAAGAACAAGTTCCTTTCATGCAAGTGATAGTTGTTTGCATGTTTTACATAGACATAGGGGGATGACATCTTCCAGAGTATATTCATCCACAATACACAGGCCCAGATCTGGAAGCAGAGTTACAACTCTTATTCACCATTAAGGTGAATAAGAGTTGTAAGAGTTGATTGGTGTTTTGTTGAGGGAATGTTAAATAGCACCATGTTGACAACATTGCTCAACTTATTTTGCTGCCATTTCTGCAACACAAAGGTGATGTGCTGTTCTAAGAGAATAATGCCTGCCCACATTGTGTCCATGCTTCTCAAAATAGCCTGAAAGATGTTTGACAATTTCTCTCTCACAAATACCACAATTTTCTTTTGTTGAACATATATTGGATATAATGGGACAGCACCTGACCTGTTAGCCCACCCACAATTCTTGCTGCACTGTATTGATGGGTGCAAGTCGGGTGGGAATAATATTTTGCAAAATTCTATTCACTAGCTTTATGATCATATGCAAGTCAGAGTCAAGACCTGTGTTAAGGAGGATGTAAAGTGCATATTAATATGGAATCTGAGGAATGTTGATACACCAGTTATTTCGAAAGATGTACATGTATTGATCTACATAATCATTTATGGAAATCCAGTTATATTAAATGTAGAGCCAATCCTTGGTAAATTGAAACACCTATTTAAATATGCATTTTCATATACGTAAACAAGAAAAAAGTTTAAAATGTGTGAGTGTACAAAATCTCTAAGTGGGTATTTTTTAAGGTGAGGACCTTAAGTATGTGTTGAATGTTGATTCTTTAAAAACAATTTCTATTTTTTACACAATCAAAAATATTCTTCAAACTTTCTAAGATGTATTCTTATATTGAGCATCATGAAAAATGTTCTGAATGACAGAAACAAAAGAAAAAACTAAAAAGTAGGAAAAAAAGTCAAACTTGGAATCTGTTCAGACTTAAACCAATTAAATATCAACATTTTCATAAAGGAAAGAAACTATTAAATAAGATCAAAAAGCAATTCTGTCACACGTTATAAACACAAATGAGTTTTTCTCTTTAAACTCAAAAATAAAAATGTTTTTAATATAATTTAAACAACCTTTTTTTTTCTGTGTTATAAAATCCAACTTGCTTCTTTAACTAACATAAGAGAATACACTTACCAAAAGTTTATCTTCCTTTGTACTTGTCCCACGATAATTAAAAACTACAGATCTGGAATTACGCAAAATATAAATGAAAAGAAAAAACAATCAGAATTTAAAAGAAATAAAAGTGAAACAAAAATTTCATTTTACTTTAGCAATTCATTTTTTTTTAACACAAAGTTTCAATATGGCTGCAAGATAAAGAAGAAAATGTTGATATAAAAAACATTTTTAAACTTTTGGGCACTGAATCAGACAAAGAAAATAATAGAAACAATTTGTATGCATTAAACAAAACATTAATCACTCAGCTGATTTGGTCAATTAAATCAGTCTTTCAGAACCAACAAAAAGAAGTCATAGACTGGAATAATTCTCTGTCTTAAACATTCAGTAGAAAATATGCAACACTCATTTATAAGTTTAAAACAATTGCAAATATATAATAGACTGCCCAATACGGAATTGCATGTTGCATTTTAAGCTTGACATTTTTACCATCTAATGAGTGTGAGAGAGGTATTTAGATGGTAAAAATGTCAAGCTTAAAATGCAACATGCAATTCAGTATTAGGCAGACTATTATATATTTGCAATTGTTTGAGAAAAGAGCACCATGACATAATTCACTCTGCCCAAAATTTGGAAACAGCATGCTGTACTCTTTGCATTTGTGCAGGAAGCTCTATGAACATTTCAGAGTGTTTGGGTGTCAATCTGAGGACACTGCATCAAATTTGGAAAAAGTTGGATGAGTCTAATGGTGATTATGAAGGTACACCAGCTCGGAAAAATCACCGACTGTTCTGACATGAAAAGAACTCCCGAATTTGTCAGTGAGGGGTTTAGACTTAACCCAGAGGCCTACATCAAGTACCTTGAGGAGGTAGTGCTGCCCTAGGTGAAGAGGGTGGTTGCTGGAAGATCCTATGTCTGGCAAGAGGACTCTACACCATGCCACGTAAGCAGGAGAGCCCAGTCATGGCTGTGAGACAATTTCTGTGACCACATCACTCCTTACATCTGGACACCTAAGTCCCCAGACTGCAACACCCTTGATTAATATGTGTGTGGAGCGCATTTGGGTGAGAGACCAACAAAACTCTTGTAACATCAAAAATAAACTGAAGGCAAAGATTATGGCAACATTCACCAACTTAAGGAGACCATCCAGAAGAGTTGCAGGAGATTCCAAAGTCACCTAGAGGCTGTGGTTGAAGCCAATGGCAATTTTATTGAATAAATTTACTCTTTAGTATTTCAAGATATTTTTGTGTAATTTTGATAAATATAACTGTTAAAATGAGATGCCGGTGTTATTTTCATGTTTGCGTCATTTAGACAACAATTTATCCATCGGAACCTGTACATACACAGATTTTGACTTTGGAATAAAATATTTACTAGGTATTCAGTAAAAAAATCAATTTCTTTTACTTTTCATGTAGAAATATTCAGTTCTAGAAAACAAGACATCTTGCCATTCAATGTTGAATATTTGAAAGATAGAACAAAGACAAAGTCTCTTCTTCATTTGTGTGGAGATTGTCCAGCATTCACTGCTATATATGAGAACTGGTATTACCTAATAGTTTAGCACTCTTTTCTTTGTTTCTAATGCTGTTTCTTAATACTTTACTTTGCTTCTGAAAGGCCTCTTTCATTATTCCAATGTGCCTTCAGATTTTGGGGTCACATTTTCCATCCTCTGTTAAAACACTTCCTAGATATTTCATTTTTTGTACTTGTTTGATTTCACTTTCTTCAATTTGTAGATCACATCTTGAGCTGTTTCTTTTGCTGACAACTGTACATTCTGTCTTCTTTCAGTTGATATTTAGTCCTTTCTTCTCCCTTTCCTTTACTATCTTCTGTAGAAGTTCCTGTAGTTTCCTTTCCATGTCCGCCATCAACACTGTGTCATCTGCATATCTTATGTTAAGATTGTGGCCACAAATAATGAATCCTGGTAGGTCTTCTAATTCTCTCAGGATCACCTTACTGTAAAAGTTGAATAGTCTGGTGAGAAGACACACCCTTGTCTTACTCCCCTTTCTACTCTTGTATAGTTACTGAATTCATTTTCTATCCATATACAAACAGTTTGCTCCCAGTATAAGTTCTGGATGATTCTTTCCCAAATAAACTAAGCTTACCTAGCAGTTCAAACAGTTCTTGGTATCATGCCTTAATAAATGCTTTTGTATAATCTATAAAGCACAGGTATGCATCCTTCTGCATTTGTATTGCTCTTTCTGATATCATTCTTAGCATAAATATTGCATTCCTTGTTCCAGTGTTTTTAAAAAGGCCACACACCAGTCTTCTTAGACAAAATGAAAAATACATTTTGCATAAATGAAAATTTGTACAATGGCTAGATGTGGACAAGAAACCAAAACACTGACTAAATCTCAAGTATCTTTCTGTTGTGGTAGGATCCACCTAATTTACATAGTGAGTACCGACCATATAAATATGGTTGGTACCGGGAAGACGAGTGTGAGGAAGAAGAGATCCAATCCAGAGACTCTGCCCGACTGCGACTAAGTCAACACATTCTCCAGGGACGGTCTTCCCAAGAATATACCAAAAGACTATATGTAAATATTGTGTACACTTTCTTGTTTCAATACATTTTGTTCTAAGTACATTTTGTGTTGTATTATTATTCCATGCATTAGTCAAGTTTCAACACTTTCACAGGAAGATTATGTTGAACATTTGATGGAAAAGGAGGTGATTTCATAGCACGTTATTCATTATTACAGATTACCATTTTTTAAGTCTTTATAGGCAAGAACACTTAGAATCAGAATCAAGTTGAAGATAAATTTAATGACTTTAATAGTTTGAATGAAGAAAGAACTACCAAAGGCGAACAAAAATACAGAGACCATCATTTCTTCTTTGTTTTCTTTATATATTTTCCAACAATTTTTTTCAATTTTATTTGACTTTAATAAATTCTCAATGTTAAACAACCTGATATGATGACTTATATTCAGATTTTAGTTTGGAAAATAATATTATTTTCTCCAGTAACTTTGAACTGACCTTATTAGCCATCAGGTGATAAGTATATACAGTCTGTCAAATGTTTTAGTAAGAAAATATGAATTGAAGGTTAAACATTTGCACAAAAATATTTTCTTTCAATATCAAAAATCATAAAAATAAATTCATTTAAATTGATCATTTATTAAGCTGAGATTTATATGACACAAGACTAAATAGGGGAATGCGTATGGAGAGATTTGTCAATCTTCAAAATGAGTAATGTCAGCCTTCCATGAAAATGATATTTATGTGGGTAATTGATGCTAGTGAGAAATAAACAACTACCTCAGCCACCAAATAGGCACAAATTGATTATTGATACAAATTATAAATTGAATCATTTATCAGCATTTTCTTTCTCAAGAATACTACAGACTTTGATAAAAAGGATTCTATAGATTTCTAATTGAAAGATATTAACTAAGTAACCATTGAATAAAATATTTTGTGGTTTTATTGAGCCTTTCTGATGTTTTTTTAATCAGCAGTCTGTCCAATGAGCTGAGAAATGATACAAACAGATTTGAATTTTAAATCATTTAAAAATATAGCAACTTTAATATTTGTTGAAATTTCTTTTGAAGAAAAAAAACCAAAAAACAGCAGAGTTTTCCTAAAATATTCAAAGATGAGAAAATATTTAGCAGTGTGTGTAATATTTCAAACTTACATACCCATCAATATTTATAAAAAGGTTACAAAGTGCAAGTATCTTTCTTTTTCTTGTTTTGGAATTTGTGTGTGTGTGTGTGTGTGTGTGTGTGTGTGTGTGTGTGTGTGTGTTGGTAAAGGATAACAATGCAATCAAGACATCTTTTGTTTCCATTTGCCAATCTAAAGATTTATTCTTTGACAGAGGCTTAAGGCATAAAAAAAAAGAAAAGAAAAAGAAGCAATACAGATTTGGTTGAACATTTGCTTTGGTACTAATCCCCAGCCAATCAACTTTCAAAAACAGGTGAGTCAGTCTTTCCTATTACTCACCTGTATCCTAGAATAGCTGCTTGCTGAACAATATGAAGGGCATACGTCTCTCGGCTGTTTCCTGAAAAGCCAAACACAAGCAATCAATGAAATCAGCTTCAAAATCAGGGCAACTCCTCTAAATGTTCATTTTTTTTTGTTTTTTAGGGTGTCCAAATAACAAAATAGAATTTTTTATGCCCAACACCCAGAAAACAGAAGTTTTGGAAAAAGACACACTCGACCAAAGAGAAAATCCTCCTCAATTTCATTGCATTTCTGTCGACAAGAGCTTGGGTATTGTTTAAGGCAATGTGACATTGAATGTGACATTTATGGCAATGTGACATTGAATGTGACATTTATGGCAATGTGACATTGAATGTGACATTTATGGCAATGTGACATTGAATGTGACATTTATGGCAATGTGACATTGAAAGTGACTTTTAAGGCAGCGTGATATTGAAAGTAACTTTTAAGGCAGCGTGACATTGAATATGACATTTAAGATAGAATGACATCAAAAGTGACATTTAAGACAATGTGACATTTAAGGCAATGTGACATTTAAGGCAGTGTGACATTGGATGTGACATTTAAGGCAATGTGACATTGAATACACAGATAAGTGAGATATCACCAAATTATTGCTAGAAAATGTTTTGAATTATTTTATAACACACTAGCAGTAGAGCCCGGTGTTGCCCGGGGATGTAACAGTAAGAGATAGATCAAGTATCGACCATCATAAAGACTGAAAAATAAAATTGACAAAGATTATTGTTTAAGGTTGACGGACACGCATGTCTTAATTATTTTTTTTTTTTTTTTCTTTTTACGAATTGGTCAAACCCAAACTCAAACAAAAACGTTGTTTTCAATTGCTATGAGTCTCTACCGATTGAATAGAATTTTATTATAAACAATTGTCTTGTAAATGGAATTTTTAAAGCATTCAGAATGTAAAAATAAAGAAAAAAGTGTGCAAGACAATAAGAAACACTACCTGCCAAAAAAAAGTGAAGTTTTGTTGAAATCGGTTGAAAAATGTAGGTAGCCTTTCTCTATAATCTTTTACAATTTATGATTTTTACTTATTGAATACAGTAAAAAAAAATTGCATATTTTGCTTGTGGTGATTCATTAGAATTCTGATTTGAATATATTTTCCACTCATTGTTTCTAATACAAAAAATATTAACTTTATTTGGGTTTATTAATTTATTACAAGTACTGTGTTCTTTCCTTAATAATTATCATCTTCAAAATATTGTTGTTTTTTGTCTATCAGATTTCTTACGTCGGCATTTTTAAATTATTTCTTAATACTTTCTTTTAAATATTGAATTAATTTCAAATAGAACCAATGCCTTATTGATCTGCCTTGTAACAAATTGCAAAGGGAATTGTAAAAACGGCCCTAAAGTACGTGGAATTATCTTTCCCTAAAGATAAAGAATTATCCGATTTTTCGTTAGATTATTGTTTAGGTTGACAGACACGCATGTCTTAGTTTGTTTTTTTTTTTACGAATTGGTCAAGCCCAAACTCAAACAAAAACATTATTTTCAATTGTTATGATGAGTCCCCCGATTGAATAGAATTAGAATTTTATTATAAACAATTGTCTTGTAAATGAAATTTTTAAAGCATTCTGAATGTAAATAAAGAAAAAAGTGTGCAAGACAATAAGAAATACTACCTGCCAAAAAAAAAAGTGGATGTTTGTTTTATCGGCTGAAAAATGTAAGAAATCCGATCCCATATATAAAGGAACACACACACACACACACACAAACAACCTGGGTTTTTTAACCTAAGTCACTCCATGAAATCGCTAAAACATAGAGCATAGTCTGATGAAAAAGACGCCAAAGTTTATGAAAACAAAATTTTATCGTCAAAATGCTTATGTTTTTATGAAGAGGATAGACTAAATTTTTTTTAATTATTTTTAAAATTTTTCCATCTTTTTTAGAATATTCTAAATTTTGATTTAAAAAAACCTTGTTTTCTCTTTGTCGCAACAAGGGGTAGTAAATAACATAGATAATTTTTAGCGCTTTTTTTTTGTATTTACACACATTAATTTGGAAAATCTTGCAAAAATAAAAAAATAATTGTCAGATGTTAATGAAACTTTCAGAAACTATTCACAGATGATCGAAATTATTATAAATATGTTTTTTTTTTTATTAAAGTCATGGCAGAAATATTTTTTTTATATTTATTAACACCCCATAACTAATTTTATGAAAAACTCTAGAAATTTGAGACCATCAGTTTTAGTGATTACAATAGTTAAAAGCACAAGGCTTTGAAGAATGCAAATCATGTTTTTTTTTTTTTTTTTTTTGGCCAACGTACCTGAAAATCAGCTGTGAATTGTAACATACAAAACTCAATAAAACAAATATATTATTTAGTTTCAAAATTTTTTATTTGTTTTAATTTGTTTTTATGAATATGGACAATATTTTCTGAAAGCAAAAAATTTTTTCAATGAAAATTGAATTTTAATACAATTATTTTTTATTTCTTTTAATTTTAAAAGATTTTTAAAAATTTTAAATTGAATTTTAAAATATATTTTAACATTAGTTAAAAGCAACATCAACCTTTCAAAATGTCCGTGTGACATTGTCATTGTCTAGCGCTTTGAAAATTGTATAATTTGGACCAATCAGATTAGCCATGGTAATTAAGAAATGTAATTTTTGTGTTTATAGTCGGACAGTAATTATCAAGTACGGAAGACCAACCAGAATACAATTTAGTTGCATTATTTGAGTTCAGCATTGTTCTCCGCTGTTAAGCCCTTTACTTTTTGCGAAACACGTATGGAGAAGTTAATTTGAATTTTCAATTTCAACTGAGAAGGGTACCTACAAGTAACAGTATCATCTTATGAAATTTAACTACTGCTAAACTTTAATTTATATGATCTTATTTTTTATATTAATCTCAGTTATGACATTTTTCCATAAATGAAATATCAAAATTAATAATAAAATGAATGGAAATACAAATAACACAGTAAAATGTAATAAATGTACATAAAATTATAGTATTTTATGTATATTTTCTGATAAAATTTCATAAGAAAGGTACCTAAATTAATTAGATACCTTTTTTCTTATGAAATTTAATCTCACTATTAACAGTCTTATTTTTTAATTTCTTTATATTTTCCATAAAGCATCGTAAACGTAAAAATGAAAGCTAAGTACAAAAAAAAAAAAAAAATTAGAGCGCTGAAAGTTTTCTTTAAAAGTAACGAGGTAAATAATTTGTTCACTTAAATAATTTCACTTCCTTCCATCCGTAGAAAGAATTATCCTCCCGTAAGTTATCTAAATGTCATGAATGTGCATTTCGTCAATCGTCAAGCGACGCGAAAGGTTATGACCTGCTTTGTTTTATTTTCAAATTACATTTTTTCGGCACAGAAGCTAAGTTAAGCTTGGTTCAAAATATTTTAAATAAACAGTATAATTTCTGTTTTTATTAAAATCAGTTTTGAAAAAATGATAATTGATTTTTAAAAGAATATCAAAGTCAGATTTTTAATCTTTTTATCAAATCGAAAAAAAATGATTGAAAATGATTGATTATCTGTCCTTTTTTTTTACCAAAAAAAAACAATATTTTTAACGAAAATTTCAGACGTGCTAAGAACGATTAAAAAAATGTAAAAAAATACCCCAAAAATACTTTGATCTTTCCTCTTTAATAATAATATGAACATTAGATGATAAAATTTTGTTTTCATCAAGTTCGGCTTTTTTTTCATCATGCTATGCTCATTTGTTTACATTTTCGTGGGTGAGTTGTCCCCCTTTCATTCTCACGATGTGTCTTAATCATGTTTTCAAATTGATTTTCTTAAAAAACAATTGTGTTTTTCCCATTTTCGGCGCCGTTAGAACCACCACAAGGTAATTTTATCTAGTCCTGTGAAGTCTTGTTGAAATCGGCTAAAAAATGTAGGAAATTCGATCCAATATATTACAGACACACACACACACAATCTGTGTTTTATAATAAGTAAGATTAATAATAAAAATCAAGCACACTGAATAGTCAACAAAATAAACTGAATTTTTTAAACTCTCCACAGACACACTTTTAAATTTGTAAAAGTTTAGAGAGAAATCAAAAAATTGTTTGGTCTTTGTAACATGAAAAACAAGAGTTTAACTGTTTTATAATTTGTGGAAAATCTTAAATTTATGATTATAATATTTTAACAGAAGAATGACTATGTTTAAAATTAGTTTCTCTACAGCAAATATGAGATCCCCTAACTAAAAATACAAATTTTCTATGAAGAGCAGAACAACTTATAACTTATCAATATACATATGTATAAGGAATTAAAATTTATTTACATGAGACAGAATTATTTTTATTTCAAAACACACACACACATATATATATATATATATATATATATATATATATATATATACACATACATACTGCTCCAAAATGAGCATACATGATGAAAAAATACCTCAAACTTATATTAAATTTTGTCAAAGTTATATCATGAAAATATTTATGGTATTATTAAGACAAAAGACCAAGAGATTTTTTAATTATTAAATTATATTTTTTAAACCTTTTTAGAACCTTCAAAATTTTGTTTTCTTGTGTCAGCAGGTGATCAGAAATTAGTATAAGAAATTTTGTGGTGAAAAATACATTCATTTGGAAATTCTTGCAAAAATCAATTCAATCAATCAGATTTTAACCAAAACTTCCAGGACTTATTCACAAATAAATGGAAAATTCATAAAATTTTGGTAAATATATTTTTTAAAACATTTACCTACCCATCCACCCCCGCTACTCATGAAATTTCAAGAAATTCATTTTTGTAAGACTTAATGTTTATTTTAGTTATAAGCAGAAGACCTGAGTGAATTTAAATCATCAGTAAAACAAGACACTCAATTATTGAAAATCTGTTCTGAATTGAAAAATAAAAAATTTAATAAAACTAAGACATTTAATTAGAAAAGCTTTTAATTGACTTTCTGAATAAGATATATTATGGACACTATTGTCTTAAAG